AATGAAATCAGATGATTAGGCAAATGAAGCATGGAAACAGAAACCGAAGAAACAGTTACGCAGGCATCCTGACTTGGAGTATGTAACAGGTTCGACAAAGTATTTTCTCCTTTTCACTTCTGCACATGGAGTAATGTGTATTGTGTATATTAAGCCATTTTGCTAGAGGAAACTGAAATCCCCTGTGCTAGGACACAGAAACAAAAAGGTGCCCAGCGTCTCCCGGAGTGTCAGTAGCAAGCTTCTTATGAAAGTCTGCTTTTCCCATGGTTTGGCTCAGTGCCCCTTCCCTGCCTCTCAGGCACAGCGTGCAGTTGGCTTCCCGTTCCCCACTTGTACCCAGATGCATCTACACGAGACATTTGCTGTGAAGCTACCTAATTCGCTCTACAGTAAAGTCTCAACCGCTACACGTGCAGCCCTATTGGGCCACAGGAAACCAGGTCAGAGCAGCCCAGGCTGACCCTCCAGACCCCCTGCCAGCTGGGGCTGCTCCGCCCCAGCTCAACATGCTGCGGTCTCGGGCGCACGTGAAGACACAGCACCCAGGAGTAATACTTTCTGCTGTGTGTGTCAGAGTTCATTCATTCAAAATTAATCTCAAGTGTAGGTGTGCCCACCTTCTCCCTACCCTAATCGGGTAGCAAATTATACCTGAGAGCAGCTCCCACCATGCTTGTTTAGGGTCAGGTGCTCTCTAGTCTGCAAGGCCCCAGCTGCAACACGTGGCTCCTGTGTAACCGAATGCACTACTGTGCCCTTTGTCGGTAGCAAGGCTGGATGCCGCTATTAGAACTGGTTAGGGATTCTTCAGCGGACCAAATTCCCTATCAGAAAATGTTATTGCCCTGGTCTTAAAGCTTTCCCTGGGACTGTGAATTAGGACCAGGCTGAATTTGGATGGAAACCTGCCCTGCTTCCTGCCAGCTCGCCTTCCCACCTCCCCAGACACTCTGGCTCCATGGCAGCTTGCCAGGCAGACAGCTGGGGCTGCCAGGCTCCACAGGCAGCTGGCTTGTTCGGTGACTGCTAAGGCTGTAGCAAACTGAGAGGTAAGACGTGTGTAGATAGCCTGACTGGTTGTCAGGCAAGGCCCAGCCCCAGCATTGCCTGGTTCTTTGGCTAAAAGGGTTCAAAAGATTCTGCTTGCAAGTCTTTTAAATGGCGCTTCCTTCCCAAACAGCTGTTTCATGCAAAATATTACATTTCCAGCTTCTTGTTCTGATTAAAATCACTTCTGTCCAGCTCATCTCCCTCTCCCCAACTTCTGCAAATACACAAGTTTTCCATGGGACAGATTCTGGCGCTAATAAATCTGTCATTTTTAATGTGCATCTCACTTTAAGCACACTGAAGCGATCTTCTCACATTGTATCAGCATCAGGCTAGAGGAAATCACAGTGTTAAACTCCTCTACAACCCCAGAGTCTTAAGCATAGCAATATCACCAGTCTCCCAGGGAATTAAAAATGGCACGGCACAACAATTAGCAACTGGAAAGCCAGTGTTTTAATTCACACATTGGTTGACTGGTTTTGTGTCCTTTGAAAAAGGAAAGAGTAACAGATAGTGCCGAACAACCTGAACCAAGCCCAGACTACCAGACATAAAAATACTGGCCCATGTCCAACCAGGGAAAGCCCAGCTTGGAAAACCCACATGTGGAGACATAACCATCATGCCTCTAATACACTGTCTACTCAAAATAGAGCGCTGACGAGACACTGCCATTAGTAGCATCAAGAGACTAATTTATTGCAGCAGAGCAGAGCTATACATGTGCATTTAGGGTTATTTCTTCCCATCTGCATTCTGTACTTGTCAACATCAAGTTTTGCCTGCCATTTTATTGTCCATTCACTAGGTTTTGTGAGATCTTTCCATAACCCTTCACCATCAGCTGTCTATTACTACAGTAATGGGTGGAAACCTCAGCCGGGATCACAGTCCCACCGATATAAGTAGTGCAGAAACATGGTGTGGCACAAGACTCGCTCAGAAGAGCTCTCAGTCTAAACAAGCAAGAAGGTTTAAGAGTGGGAGGGGAAGCAGAGAAACAAGGAGATGAAAAGCCTTGCGAGCACGGCACAGGTGTCAGGATCAGAACCCAACCTTCCCGACTCCAAGCCTACTATGCTACCCCAAACAAGAACAGATCGACAGCATTGTACATCCTCCTTTCCTGGTGTAAGAGGTAATGCAGGCTTCAGGGGGACCATGCATGCGACTCTTTAAAACTTCCACTGCTTCACAGGTCCTCCTGGCTCCTGTTTCATACCTCCTGTTCTTTTACCCTTGCATGAGATTTTTAACTAAGGTCATATTTAAGACTTGAGGTGAACACAGCTATTTCTAGATCGCTGGTTATGTGCATGAGACAAAAGCTGCCTGAACACTGATAGGATCTGTCTTGTTTTTGTCTCTCACGCAGTAAAGGTCCTCTTTAAAAATCCAGTCTGGAATAATAGACAACGGGCAAAGTTAGTCTCCTCCCCCTGAGGGGACACCCACAATCAGGCATTCGCCATCATTTGACATTTTGTATTATTTTTCCAGTGTTTTGCTCAATGGGGTTTTCATTATCAATGTTAACATTCAGAGGTGTTCTTGGCTCTTCCCTGAATAGCACACAGCATAATCTCCCCAGGTGCATATTTAAGCTTCAGTTTTCATAAATGTTTGAGCATTCAGTTTTAAAAATAAGTGCTGCCAAAGTAAGTTGCCTCCGCCAAGTATGTTGCACATGGAAAAGGGAGGAAAGAGCATTGTGGTAAAGTCTACAGATGACAGAAAATCATTCTGCATAGTTCGGTCCAAAGCTGATGGTAAAGAGTTACAGAAAGATCTCACAAACCGGAGTAGGTGGGCAATAACATGGTGGGTCAAATTCAACATTGGTAAGTCCAAAATAATGCAAATGGGAAGAAATAACCCTAATGATACATATATAGTAATGGGCTCTGAATTAGCTGTTACCACTCGGGGGGGAAAAGATCTTGGAGTCAGTGGAGATCGGTCTCTAGAAACATCAACTAACTCAGTGTGCAGCTGTGGTCAAAAAGGCAAACAGAGTGTTAGGAATCATTAGGAAAGGAATAGAAACTAAGCAGAAACCATTATTATGCTATTCTGTAAATCCATAATGTGTCCATATCTTGAATACCATGCGCAGTTCTGGATCTCAAAAAGGATATGGCAGAACTAAAAAATGTACAGACCAAGACTGAAAAGGCTAGGAGTCCTCATCTTGGAAGAGAGATGACTGAGGAGGGAAGTGACAGAGGTTTATAAAATCACAAATTTTGTGGAACAAGTGATTCCCTTTGTCTCGTAATACAAGATCAAAGAGTGGGTTTTAGTGAAACATAAAAAAGTACTTTTTCACGTGTTAATCACGTGTTGTGTAAAACTCTTCGGCACAGGAGGCCACTAGTTCAAGTGGATTCAAAAAAGCATTCAACAGATCTGTCTTCCATACATTTATCAGGGTCTATGCAGCATTACAAAAGGGATGGAGCCTCAGGCTCAGAGCGTCCCAAAACTGAGGACTACTGGTAGGTGAGTAAGGCAGGGTAGGTCACTCAACACAGGCTCTGCTTCCCAGATTTTTCCTCTAACCCTCCACTACTAGCAAATATCAGAGAGAGGATGCTGGGCTAGCAGCAGCTTGATCTGACCCAGAACGGCAGTTCTTAGGATCATGGAAAAAAGACAAAAAGGGACATGAACGTGGCTGAAGCAAATTCATTGAAACGTGAAACCAGTACTGCATTAGCCAGAGCCCTCAGGAATGGGTTGTGCCACAAATGAGTGAAAAAAAGAAGTGGGGTGGAAGAAGGAAGAAAGAATTCGAAGCCACTTTTGTGCCTCCCTTTATGTTGGTTCCAGCTCTTTGTTTAACCCAGAGCAGCCATAAGGATGCTCCGATTGATATCCGGGTGCCTACAGCCCCAAGGGTCCCCTGCCCTGCACCCACCACCAGGGTTGCTGGATGGAGCAGGCAGGTGCGGGGGCCCCACGGGCAGGGCACATGACCAGGCAGAAGGGATGGGGCCACGGGAGGATGAGGAGTGGTGTTTGGGAGCAGGACAGGTGGATGGGGCTGGTGCTGGGGCTGGGATCACAGGGTGGTGACAGTGCAGAGCTGGGGACCGGGATCTGGGGCAGAGCTGTAATCCTCTCCCATGACATCCCAGGGCCAGTTCTGCAAGCAGGGGCACGCAGGGGGTGGATCATGGCTCTGTCTCGGGTCCTGGCATTACACTGTCGCTGCTTAGTGATCCCGGCCCTGCCCCTGCCCCACTCCTGGATGCTGCTCCCCACCTGCCTGCAACCCTATCCCATCCACGTAGCTGAGCACGCCCTGCCTGTGGAGGTCCCATCCCAGTCTCATCTGCCTGCTTTGTCCAGTGCCTCTGGTGGTGTGTGCGGGGCAGACGGGGCTGGATAGGATCAATTGGCTCCCCCCCACCCCACACCAGTTGGTGTAAGCAGCCGTGACGCTGGGGAGGCTGAGGCTGGGTCAGCACCCCCTCCCAGCTCTCATCAGCTCACCAAAACTCCTGAAGTGGCCTTCCAGCCCAAATAACTGCTCTCCCCGATCTACTTGCTGCCTCTGCCCCATCTCAGGAAACTCTTCCACCCCCACAAAGCACAGAACAAGTCTCTTCTTCTCATATCACACAAAGTTAAAAAAACAAAGGTTTATTCAACTTACAGCATATTTAAAATTGATTGGCTTTCCATGCCACAACTCATCTTAAAATCACCCCACAGATTGCAGCTACACAATTAAAAAGCACAATCACATTTAAAAGGCAGCATCAAACGTATAAGTCTCTGTCGCAGTCTGCTCCAGCATGACTTGATTATTTAAAGCTATGCTATAAAAACTGATTTACGCCATATCCCTTTGATCTCAATTTCAATTTCAGAATGCTAACTCACAGTCGTTGCTTTAACTGATAGGGACAGAGCAAACACTCCAGGAAAAGGAAAGGCTAGAATATGAAATCTGCTTCTGTCATGTCTATTGCCCAAGCAAATTTATCTCGATGGGTTTTGCTGTAGATTTTCTCCAGCAGAACACCCCAGTTTTTACACCCGGAAAAAATGATTATTTAATATTATCACGTGCATGCGATAGGCAGCCATGGACCTTTACCAAGAGAATAAATACGTGGTCCTTAACATAATGGAAATGATAACTGAGGGTCTTTGAACCAAATTTCTTTGATAGTATTAGGAACCTCTCTCTCAGGCCCTGGCATTACACTGTCACTGCCAAGTGATCCTGACCCTGGTCCTGCCCCCCGTCCCACTCCTGGATGCTGCTCCCCAGCTGCCTGCGGCCCCATCCCGTCCACCCGAACGTCAAACAGCACAAATGCATTGACATGCCTTCCTAAATCAGGACTCATGGGCCACATCCAGAAAGCACTGGAGCTAAGCATATTTCCCATGGACTTAGATCAAGCCACAAGCGATGACCAGGTTTTAAAACCCCCTGGACAGGTTGGCAACTTTGAGACTAAGTGGGTCAGAGAGAAATGAGCTTTTGTAGGCAACAACCGACTGCATCAGATGCTGTGAATGGACTACACCAGTATATTTAAAGGATACAACTTTTGTTACTGGACAATGCCTCTCATACTTGGGAGGAAGGACTCGCCATGCGACAGTGATCCGAGGATCCAGGTAGTTCAGTTTGGAGGTGCCCAAAGCAATTTGCTTGTTTTCTCCCTGGTCAATCACTTGCACCTCCGGTTTCTGCAAACCTTCTATTCCTTGCACTGCTTTTTTCTTGCTCTGCATTAACCTGTGGTCAAAGGATGCCATTCCTTTTCAGGTAACTGATATGGGTCTCACCAGAGACGAACCTAACAGGGTGTGGGGCTTGGGGCAAATCAGCCTGTGCAGGGTCCAGACACAGTGAAGCCGGCGGCAGCGGTGGGAGCGGGGTGGGGTGGCGAGTGGCCAGATGAGAAGCCAGTGGCAGTGGTGGCATGGTCACCAGCACCAGGCAGGCCCTGCAAGATGGGCCGTGGCCGCTGTGAGGGGCCTGGGTCGGTTGCCTCGATTCGCGCCCTGGTAGGGACGGCCCTGCTCTCACAGTTCCACTCACTAACAAAGGAATAAGCAAAATAGATCTACAGTTGCCATTAATCCACATTGAGTTTTAAGCAATAGAAAAGTAGCAAAGTGAAGTTTGGTCTAAAGGAGCTTAAGGGAGCCTGGGAGCAGGCAAATGAATACGCTAACACTAGCACATACTCCCCTCGGACACAAATGCTGGGCCACCTGCATACGTGACATGGCAAATGCAAGATGGCAGTTACGTTCTTCAAGATGCATTGCACATATTGTATTTCCCCACGAACAATACACACCTTTTCCCCAAAAGCTAGCTGCTGGAAATTGTAGTGCATAGTATATATGAGAAATATGGTAAAAGCAGTTTCTGTAGTCCACAGAGCAGAAAAATGAGCAGGCTCAGCATCCTAACTGCTGATCCTAAATTACTTTCTAAAAGAAAGATCTTTCCTTCATTCTGCCTTTCAAAAAAACAAGGTGTATATCTTATTCCAGGGCAAATTAAGTGCAGGAAAAGATGGTATTTACATTCTGCTGTGGGTATGCATTCACCCCGTGCATTTTGAGTAGCAGTACCACTGTGAGCTGCTTTCAGCCAAAGGCCTGCCTGCCCTTAGTTCCTTCTAAGTAGGATACTATCAAGGATGACTCAAGCTATGAGGGTGGAGGGAGGAGATGGGATGTATTCTTGCACAACAAACTTCAAGGAGCAGTTAGTGTAGAGGAAGCAGCTGTATTTTCACCTTGGGTTGACTCTGCACATGCACAGTCTAATGCAGAGGGCTCCCAAACCATTGACATTGCAGGCACTGGGACTTTGAAGCCACTATATGAACTCCAACTGACAGCAGCAAATGCTGGAACAGCAGCGAATGCGGGGGGCAGAGCAAGTTCAGCTGAGAACACAGATGGCAAAGATTGTAATTTGTGGTGCTTCTACAGAAGAAGCGAGTGAAGAAGCAGTTTGTGTTGAAGCAGAGATGGGATGGGATCTTGATATAGGAATGGATCTCAACAGAGCCATGGAGTTGCCACCTGGGTTAGTTTATCCCAATGACAGAAGATGGTGGCGGCGCTGGTTTCAACAACACTGAGTACACCAGTCCTCATGGGGAAAGTACTCCCATTGGAATCCTGGTTCAGCGCTGGGGAATTTATAGTGGTATTTGTGGGGAACCCCTTTATGAGAAGATGAGGCAGCCGTCCTTGATCTCAACCAAATAAAACCCAAAGACTCTTCCATCGCTCTTGCATCCTGGTTTGGAAAAGGAGAGACATTTCTTCCCTGTACTTGGAGCAGACAGAACCAGAAAGGCTCTCTCTGTGGAGCAGCTTTTAGGTTTCTCAGGGATGAATGCACTTCATCAGGGGATGTTCCAGCCAAGTCTGTTCCAGCAGGTGCTCCCTCAGACAAAAAGTCTCTAGACGGCCTCCAGGAAGACCAGAAGAACTAAGTAGGCAGACAAGGTTCTTTGGGTAAGCCCGGTATCTTTTATTACACCAACTCGAATTTGAGTTGGTCTAATAAAAGATATTGGATTATCCGAAGAACATTGTCTGCCTAGGTTCTTAGACCAGGGGTTGTCAACTGGCATGCCTGCCCGGCCAGATGTGGGGGGCAGGGTAAGCTTGCATGCTGTGGCTGCTGCTGCTCCATGTCCGGCCATGCGCCCCTGCCCCCCTGCTATTTGGTGGCGGGGGTACAATGATCCAAAAAGGTTGAAAACCCCTGCCTTAGACCAACATGGCTACCACCTACACCACTTATCTTTTAAGTGTTCTTGGCCTAATCAAAGCAAGCACAGCTTGAGAGTCCATCGTTAGCAGCATGACAGCTCTACAAGAGGCACGCTGCTTGAAATTTGGAGACTTCTGCTTGATTACAGATAAGTCACATCAGGAGATAGGGAGATTTTTCTTCCCAAAGGGAAATTCCTTATGCTGAAGTTAAGGAGTGTTAACTAGTTACAGTGAAAAAAAAACATTACTTGGAAAGAAACTGGAAGCTCCAATTCTCTCAAGGTGCCAAGAGATAGCAAGACACCCAGGCCCTTTCACAGCCTTGCTTGAGAGCATGAGGCCACACTGTGGCGTGCTCTGCCATAGCATACCACGCTTCCATACCAGTCTGCAGCATCACGCCCCCAAACTGAAACTGTAATCATCTTCTAGTGTATGAATTGGAGCTTTCCATCCATGCGGCCTGAGTGTTCACCTTGCTAACTCTGCAGAGGCCTGCTGCTGTGACTCTGGACTGCAAATCCCGGAGACCTCGGGGGGCCGCAGGAAGAAGAAGCAGACACACATCCCATGCTGGCTATGTGCCAGAGAGCTCTGCTCTTGTGCCCCACCCCTGGTTTCTGGCCTTGGCCACTGCAGGCATATGGCTGCATTTCATGTATCAAAAGTGATGGTCTGTCCAGTTGTTTCTCAGTTTAATCTCTGTAGTTTAGACTAACCTGCAAAGACTGGATCAATTCAGCCTCGGGCTTTTTGACTGTCTGTACTTAACCTATATGTTCTCCTCTATTATATGACTAATATTTATACCTACTAGTACAGGCCAAAATATACATTGGTATCATAGGAGTCTGTGACTGTCACTAAGCAACTGGATCCGTTGCATTAATGCTGTTTAGTGGTTCGCGGGGGAATACCAAGTGAAGTTAGCAGTATCACAGGCTTGATTCCTGAAGGGGACTAAGTTGGTGACTGAGGTAAAGTTTTGGTGGTAGGTTGCTCCTCCAGGTAGAAAGTTTCTATGACAGGCACCAAATGATTCACTGCTCCCTCGGAGCTATATGAGACATTATGGACTGCAGCTGCCATAGTTGGAGAAGGAGGCCCCCAGCATGATTTTACTCGTCTTTGCTACATTCCAGGGAGGGAAGACCCATAGCTGTGTGTGACTGTTGGAATAAACTGACTTGCAAATCAATTGAATTTGCCAGCAGAGATGGCCAAAAACCACACCCCAGCTCCCAGCTGACTCTTGAAAGCTGGCAAAATTCAGAGCCACCTCCAGTAAAATATTTTAAGCAATCAATGACCACTTATGACCATCCAAGTACTTCAACAGCTACCCCAGAGCTTCCCAATGATACAGGCAGAACCTTGATTTTCCTGTTGCAAAACCCACAGGAGACTTATCATTTTCGCTAAAAGGAAAACCTCTCATAGTCATTAGCCATGAGCTAACAACGTTTGACGCTCATCCGAGTAGACAAAAATCAATGTCATGGATATCTTAGTTCACAGAGTCATTTGCAAACTGCTTTCTATTCCCTCCATCACAATTCCAGCACTCTCTGCAAATTCAACAGTCTGTAACTTGTCAGCTTTTAAACCAAAATGACATCTGCAGGAATTGTTTGCAAACAACATCAAATTTGCAGAGCTATCTAAATGCAAAACACGGTCCTCCTCATTTTCAATTAATTCAATTGCTTCTTGATGAGGATTGGTCCTAGAGTTGCTGGAAATATGCATAATGCCCAGCAAGGAGATGGAAGTGTTGTTATGAAACCAGTCGAATGGTCCTCAGAATTATGGACTGAACCATGGAAAGAAAGTAATTGGAAAAGCTTAGTAATGTGTTTCAGAAATTCATTTGTGCAACTCAGCATTGTTGGTATGTCACTCACATTCTCATCGGTTATTTGCTGAGCATCATCGGTGCGCTGGCCAGAGAGAGAGAGAGAGAGACAGTTACAAGCTAAAGACCTAACAATCCTAAATGAAACATGAGAGCAGAGAGGAACAAGTTGATCTATAAAACTACAAAAGGACAAGATGTTCTTACAAGGGACACAAACCTGTGTCAGCCTGATTCAGTAGATGGCACTCTGTCCTCTGCAATGAAATTCCAGTGTGGTGTTAAAGGGAGCTGGCTGTGCAGCCTGAAGAGGCAGGTTCTCGTTGAAATAAAAAAAATCAAGCTGAAGTCCTGGATCATAATAATTAATACTGAGATACTTTGCCAGTAAGCTGAGATATAAAGAGCCATGGCACTTCTCAGTAGCAGAGGTGTCAAATCAGCGACCATTTTGCCTCCTTAAGCTCCCCCTAAAGTAGAAATTGGGCACAACGGCATCCTTCACTTCCTGTCCTAACCCGTGTTCCCTCATTTTGTTGCAGGATTTCTGCCCAGTGAGGGACTGTGTTCCAGTCTAATGAGAGTGTTCTGGTGAACGGGGGACGAAATGGCATTGCAAATAGGCAGTGTACGCTGCTTATTCTCAAGAACAGCATTTCACCATTCACACAAGTTTCATAAGGACCCCTGGACAATTAACCAAATTAAATTGTACTCACTTCTTCAATTTTTCACTGTCGCTGCCCTTCACATCTTGCTTAGCTTGCTTCAGCTCTTTCTTTGCTAGGGAAAGCTGTTCCCTCTTGGTCTCAATCTAAGACAGGAGACAGAAGGGAGCATTTCAACTATGACAGGTCTGTCAAAATACAAGTGTGGCAACATCTGAAAAGTTCTTCGTTGTAGCAAGTGCAGGGACTGATAATGGAGATAGGCCAGAGCAACACCAAATAGCCCAGGCATGAACTCCCTATATGAGGGATATTTATTTAGACCCCCAACCAAGACTGGGGCTGCACTATGCCAAGTATTGAATATATAGATATATTTTTTTTTCTTTTCTTTCTTTTCTTTCAATACTTTATATATATGTATTTTTTCTTTTCTTTCTTTTCTTTCAATACTTGGTATAGTGCAGCCCCAGTCTTGGTTGGGGGCCTAAATAAATATCCCTCATATACAGAGTTCATGGCTGGGCTGAGCTATTTGGTGCTGTTCTGGCCTATTATCCATTATCAGTCCCTGCACGAGTGTGTGTGCGTGCACACATACACATACATACACACACACTATATATAATATGTGTGTGTTTGTATGTATGTTTATGTATGTATGTATAGAGAGAGAGTGTGTGTGTGTGTGTGTAGTGAGGGCCAATCCTTTCCCCAGAGAGCTCACAATTTAAGGGACAAGATTTAAAAAAAAAAAAAAAAGAGAGAGAGGATATGGAGCCACACAACAAAGAAAAGCAAGATCAGTGACAGCTGGGATTAGCAACCATATCTAACATCCTCTGCAGACCTGTTTGTCAGCTGGGATTGACAAAGAGCTGCTCAGCAAAAATACGATCTACAAATATCTTTGAATAAGAATATTTCAAAACATCTCCCAATGAGCGGAACATTACTAGCAAAGCAGCCCATAATGAGGGGAAGTGTAGTCATCCATGTCAGACCGCTGCTGTCTTACCTTAGCTTGGAGATTAGCCATGGACTGCTCAAAGGTCTTGGGTGGTGCACGCTGGTGGTTGCACAGGACTGCAACCGCTCTGTTAGCTCTGTTGTAGGACAGGATGTTGGCTGGGATGCTGTCTCGAGCTAGGAAGAACGAATGAGCACAAGGCTGTTTAGCAGAGGAGTCTTGCTGAATAAGCAGTGTTGGCTTAGAAATGGTATTTAAAAGGTTTGTTTTTTGGGAATTGGCTTCTAGGTATATGTATATGGTTATATATGCATATATTCTTGCTGAATAAGCAGGAGGCCTCAGTTATAACCTAGTTCCTTGGTCTCTCTCACCATGTGCAGCATGCCAGATTCTCTTCCTTTTTTTATATTGGTTCATCAAGAATACAGCTCCGGCTAAAACAATGAGGTTATATCAGTGTAACCCAGAGTAAGTGCAAGCGAACCCAGGTTGTACATGTCTACATAGTCCATACTATGGGATATGTGTGATCATATAATTCCCATCTGTCATTTTAGGTGCTGTCCTATAATTCTAGTGAATCTTACCTTTTCTGGATAGATCAACTGTGCAGCCAAAACTCGCAGAAGCAAGGGTAGTGGAAGCAGACTCTTAATGTATAGACAGTGATTATTCTTAAACAACTGGATGATAACTAATATTCTCATTGTTTCTTAGTTTATACCAGCACAAAACAAGGGAGAGTGGTGGTCCGCTCCCCAGACATTTATGGAAGCACGCACCCCTTTCTAAACTTACAATCTGTGAGCGCTTTCAGCTGTTGTTGCAGGGTAATAGAGGCATTGTACATTCGAAAAACCTTGGCTGTCAATCCCTCCATCAGACACTGAAGGTACTTATTAAGCATTGAGGTCTGCAATCAGAATGATACACCTTTAGTTTAAGAATGACTTACTCTGGCTCTACACTTAATCAAGGGGGTTTCTCAAATGCTTCTGTGTTCACAAAAGCTGAGGAAAAGGTGCTCTTTCTCTACGTTTTCTGTAAAACACTTTGTCATTGTCTGCTATATGAATCAGCAGGGCCAAAGTGCTTCGAAGAGCTACCGTGGCACCTTCCCAGCATCCTGAGGTTTCGACTCACAGTACACTAGTAATTCTCATCACAAGAAGGGTTTTCTCTTCCTTTGATGTATCCAGGCCCTGGAATACACGTACCCATCTTGAAGTGGAACCTTGAATCCAGGACTTTATTAATGGCTAGCGAATTACCCGTCAAGAATGATGGGGGAAACGGGGGCGGGCAGGACGAGGCGCCGTGCGCCACCACCCCGCACTGCCACCACCTCCCAGGAGCAGGGGGATGGGGGAAGCTTGCACGCGGTGGCTGCCAGACACTGGCCCTCACTGCTGCAACTCCATGTTTTCCCCCTGCATGCTCCCTGTCTGGCCCTGCACCATACCCCCCACACCTCCATGTCCAGCATGCAGCCCCTTCCCCCCTTCCCCCTAGTGCAGGGCAGTGGGGGGCACCTACCCCCCCGCCCCATGCTGCCACCACTCTGCATCCAGCCATGCACCACAACCTTCCCCCAGCTCTGCATCCTGCCCCACAACACACCCCCACCCATGTCCGGCCATCTGTCTGTCTGTGTGGAGCACTCTGATTGGCTGTTTCAGTAAGCATTGCAATTGGCTGCCAACACAGCCAATCAGAGTGCTCCAAGAGCGTTATGGACAGACAGACAGGCACATAGGCATACGGCCTAAGCCTTTTATGTATATAGAATAACCAATGTAACAGCAGAAAGTCCCCACGTCATTTTGGGGGCTTTATTCACGAGAAAGAACCCATGCCTCCAAATCTAGAAGACCTAAAGAAAAAACCATACCAGGAATGGGGGAAAAGGATACCACGCGCAAGCATGTGATAGATGATTGGCGCACCATGTTTTCCTATGGGGCAGGAGTAAGATGACGTGGCAAGAGGGGAGAAAGAAGGAACGGAAAAGATGCCAGCAGGACTAGGAAGGGGATGGGCAGAAGGACTAATCAGGCAGAAAATAAGGATCGCAATGGTAAAATAGTGGCTACACATTGCTCATGTCCAGAGCCCCAGCTGGACTTCCCCTCACCACCCCCCAGCAGCTGGCAGTGGTGAAGAGAGTTTGGCTCCAGACGGCTGAGTCCATCCAGGAGAGTTTCCGCTCCTTCTTTGCCGAGCTCGGGCAGCGGGGTGGTTGGGTGCTTGCTGCCTTCTGCTCTAAAGGGCAGCGTGGTACCGAGAGTAAAGACAAGGAAACCGCACAGACTCGACTTTGCCCTCTCCTGCTACTCTAAGACCAGAAGAACGAGCTTGGCTGGGTATGACGACTCCAGGCCTCATCTTGGCAGAGAAAACCCTTGCCTGCACTGGAAGCCACACATTTTACCCAGCATCCCTGGTGGCCGGCCCTCAGACGCTCTGTCCTTAAATGCATACAGATTGTAGTCAGAGCGGCAATAGTTCACACATCCGCTGTGATCCCACTTCTCACAAGCAAGGATGGAAAATTTGGCAGCTTTAGCGTTTTTCTGCAGAGCTGGATCCATCTCTGTCCCCTGCTGTTTGGGGGCTTTAAATTAAGAGAAATCCAAACCTCCCTTTAGGTTCTGAAAAACATTTTCAAACGCACTGCCTCAGCCATGATTCTTCTCATGACACTCTCCATGGCTTTTCCACACCAGTGACTTTCTAATAGCAGTAGAGAGAAAAGAAGTGCTCCATAAAATAGCATTAAACAAGGAGGCTCAGTGGTAATTAAAGTGGGAATGGAGAGAAGGGAACACTGGGTAAAACCTGCTGGAATGTCTCTTTGGGGCATTTCAAAGAGTTTTTTGAAATAACATTTCTGTCTTTTTCTGGAGCTAATTATACATTTGCTGCACACTATGCAGAAGGCTAAATTAATTGGAAGAACAAAGGTAATTTGTTGAGGGTTGGAGTGAGGCCACTGATGCTCATTTCCCTTGGGAGGAAAAAAAAAGAGTTTCTCTTGAAGTAATGACTTCTCTGGAGTTTGGCATCAATAAGGACAAGAACATGGGACCAGGACTTGCATCCTTTGGCCCCCACCACCTTCCTCCTATTCCAGGGGCGGGCAATTATTTCGGGCGGAGGGCCGCATACTGAGTTTTGGCAAGTCATTGAGGGCCATATTACAGGCAGCCAGGGGCAGATATATATTAATTTTCTAATTTTTTAGGGGCCCCGCAGGCTGGATAGTATGGCCTGGTGGGCCACATCCGGCCCACGGGCCGCATTTTGCCCACCCCTGTCCTATTCCCTGGCTGTGCCACCCAGTGAGTTTAGTGACAGGAGAAAGCAACAGGTAGGGAGTCTCTCTCCCTTTTTTTTTGCAGCCTCCCCTGGTTCGTTCACCATCTGGCAGTAGATTGCTTAGATAAGAGCCGCCAAATTCAATACGTCAATATTAATCACTACCACCACCACGATGGCTCTGTGCAAGGCTCATACTCACGTTCAGCCTGTCAAATAGATCATCTCCCCCTTGCTTGTTCTTCATAAACAGCTGGAGATTTTTAAACACCTTATTAAAACAGAATAGATCATCATCAGTCAGCGCATTGCAAAGATAAATGGGTCTTACATCAGTAAACACGTCACTTGACAAAAGCAGGCAGGAGACCCCATTGATCACATCTGAGAGAATCTGCAGGGCTGAAACCACCACAGATCTGAGCCTCTGCCGTTTCATGTTGTACCTAGCAGTGACTACGTTTAGTCAGACTGCGCCGTCCTCCGTCTAGCTCAAGCTGTCAGATGTCCTCAATCTAAAAAGGTAAAAATCCCAGATTTCCAGAACGCCGAAATGCATGAACATGCAGAAGCTCCCATTTCTAATGAAAAACATCTGGTCAAAAATCTGCCGAATGCTTGTACAAATTCGTTATTTCCCTAAGGACAGGAGTGCTTGTTTTGCCAGACTTCGAAGCCAGCCGCTCAGAAAAATGTGTGTTCCGGTCTGAGGTTCAAGTATATTTTTTTAATCAAAACACAAGTGCTTGTTGAGATTGCATTTTGTTCTCTTTAGAGGAGAGATTCTTTTCAAATAAGAAATCATTGTTTGCATAGTAAAAGCCTTGAGTTTAATCTAGAAAAATGCCTGTCAGGTGCTTGGCTAGTATTTCCCGTGAAGTTGAAGAAGTTAAGGTTTTGCAAACACATACGGAGTTCAACTCTAGACCCTTCTCCTTTGAAATGGGACCTAAGACAACCATGCGGCACTGGGAGACCACCATGCCAGGGCGCTCTGCTCCATTCCCAACTTTTCCTCCATGTCACTGCTCAACTTCAGGCAAAGCACTTAACCTCTATGTGCCTCATTTCATCCATCTGTAAAAGAGTAGATAAGTTACCTAATTCGCACGGATGTTATGGAGATTAATTAACTAACGTCTGGAAAATGTCTTGAGATCCTTCTGTGAAAGGCACTATAAGGGCAAAGTATAGCTGTATAACCATATGCAAAAGGTTTATTGCTTAGCACAAGACAGCCTTGCTTTATCCTCTTCCCTTTGCATAATCATGGAGTGTTTTTATTAGGAAAGTAAACTAATGGCTTATTAAAGTCGCTCTGCATGGAATCACATCCCAAGGCCAAAAAAAAGGGTTCTGACTGCAGTTTCCCCATGGGGCGAGTATTCCCATTATGGTACTGCCTCAAGGTCCCACCTAGGATTAGGTGCTGCGCAGAGTGAGTGGTAGAGACCAGCATTTTAAACCGTCTTAGAGGAATGCACAACGAAGACCGACTTGTTTAACACAGGCTTATTTTGGTTTGGCTGAAGTAAAACTAAAAAAAAAAAAAAAGCTTGGTTTAAACCAAAGCATCTTTGCCTGCTGAGCAAATCAGCCCTAAAAATAAAAAAAAAATTAAAAAAAAATCACACTCATGTGCAGAGCCCACAATTACTGCTTCCAAGGAGTTTAAGATATAAGGGGTGAGAGGCATGTAGGGGAGGAGTGCTCATGATCAGAGGCACGCAGGGGAGAAGTGACATGCCCCAAGTCAAAAAGGACTTCAGTTGCAGAGCCAGAAAGAGAGCCCAGAGCTCCTGACTTCCAGTCCCAGCCCTATCTCCAAGCTCAAGCTTTCTCCCCCACATTTAGAAGTGATTTTCCTTTGCATTTTACCTTCTTTTCCACGGACATTTTGTTGTAGTATTGGATGGAGTCTTTACCCTGGAATCAAATTCCACCACGTGCTTTTCTCTGCCGAGCTCCGGGTGCAGTTTCACACGCTCCACTCTCAGCGAGCAGCAGCCGACTGTATCGGCCGTCTCCCCTTCTTCCTTTTCGTTCCCTGCTCTGAGAGCCAGCTTAAAAACAGAACAGCATGTGTCATACCTAAGTTGCCTCGGGCCCTGGAGCATCAAGCTGCAAGGACATTACATCTTTGTGTACTACTAACTTGGCTTTCAAGCTGCTGTTTATATCTTTCTGAGCTATGCTCCCAAATTCCTCTCTGGTTTTCCTTTTTTTTCCCCTTTTTTGCTTTCAGGTCTTGGTCATCGTTCAGAGTCATTTTCTCTCTGTCAGAATTTATATGAGCTCAGACTCAAACCTGGGAGAACCTCAGTAAATATCATCTTCAAAGTTCATCTTTGCTGGGGAAGGCTTCATGGCCCTAGAGACTGGTAATGGAGTATAGAATAGTTCACCTTGCATTGGCCAGTTCATTCTCAAGCCAGTGAGAAATGAAATGAGTGGTCTCGATCTCGTTCCCATTGGCTTCACTCATCACAAACTGGCATGCTTGTTGGCCACCACAGCAGGGAAGCGGAAGTCAGTGGCAGAACCAGAAATAGCGCCAAGGAATCCCGACTCCTCTAGTGCTGAAGGGGCATGAAGAATAAGCAGCCTATATCCTCATGATGCATTAACTCATTGGACAACGATACCTATTTTCGAGTTGATATGGGATGATGTGAAGAGTAAGAGAAACACTTTCAAATCAGATGACTTTGGTTTAGACCAAAGCCTTCAAGCAGGGGCAGTTAAACTGGAAAGACATGAGTGGAAGGACAACTAAAGAAAAGAGAGCCGTTGGCATCTGGTGAAGATGGAAAGCAAATGTGCCTTCATGAGAAGACAAGAAATTGTATTCATGAGCATACAAGAAATTCCAGAATTGGGATGGATGCAACTTATCCAAATCACTTAATGTAAATCAGGAAAAAATGCACCAGAAGGTTACCTGGGAACCATGATTGAGGACACCATTTTGGAGGTTGAGGTATGTTATCTAGTATAATAAAGAGCCAGGCACAATGGAATAAGAAGTAGTATGAAGTGCATCTGAACAAGGAGAGGACACAAGACAGCCAAAATGAAGGGCTGCAACATGCTGACGTGCCTTCTGTCTGCGAGGCTCAGGAGTAAGTAGAAAATGCTAGGAAAGGGAGTCCTGGTGGTATTGAAGGTTGTATCGTTTTAAATTGGCAGTGGATGATCTTTCCGAGTTTGGGAACTGCTGCTCTAGAGAAGGAAGAGGTTCCTGAAGTGCGACTGCCTCCCTCAAATTTTGCTGAAGTAAAAATTAGGTTACCCAAAGTGTTTCTTGGGTCCCAATCCGAGTGCTCCCTTCACTTAACGAGCACTGTTTTTATGGTGATTCAGACGAGAGTTTCAGGCTTCCAGGGAATATCACTGCAGCCATCCTGAAGGGCTAAATCCAAGTTCCCCCAACACAGGGGTCCAGGGACCCAAACACCCGTTCCCATTAAAGTTAATGCAACCCAGGCATCTAAATCCTTCAGATGCCTGGGTTGAATGTGCTTTGATAGCGAGTCAGAGCTTCACACTCGCTATCAAAGCACCTTCTTCAGAGGTATTGAGTGACAGGGGTGGATAGAGTCTAGGCATCTCGTCAAAAAGGGCACGGACCAAGCATGCCCGTCCAGATAGGGCAACAACAGGTCTGCCGTTTCCTGGTGAAAACCCCAGTACCGATTCAGTGCGGAGAACACACTGGGAAGAAGTTCTGGGTTCTGCCACACGCTTTGTGTAACCTTGTCCCATCATTCAACATTTTCCTTTCCTAGACAACAACTCATTAACTCGTCACTGTCCTTAAGCTTCAAAGCACTGCAAAGTACTATGACTACTGATGATCAGCGAGTAATAGGGGGTTGAATGGGAATAAATAAAGCCCTACTCTCTAGAGCTGGCTGAGTCTCAACCATTGCCAAAGATGCTCACCTGGGTTGGGAGTTAACTTGCCCGTTCCAAGCTTTCCTGCCCAGGAGATGCTCAGGGAGTTACAACTGGCATTGGCCAGCCGGTCCACCGAGGCTGGGACCAGACTGCTGCTACCAGATAACAGAGTTATTCCTTGGGCTCAAGTGATAGAGACTTGTGCGAAAAGCCTCCGAGTTGGTCCTGGATGGCCTGTTGCAAAGGGCTCGTGCAATTCAGAAGCCTGCATAACACTGGTAGGAAATCACCATTGTGGATCTGAACTTCAGAGGTCTACCCCAAGCTTATAACAGAAATAAGGATGCCAAAGACACTGTGTTCAGTGGCAGCCACTCAAACTACCCAGAAGCAACAGAGGGGCCTGGAAGGACTGAGCTGAAAAAAAGAAAAAGAAAAAGAGAGTGGGCACAGCCAAGAAGTATCTTCATCAAACCAGTGCCTGTTTTAAAAAAAATATAAGGGAGGTGGAGGGAGAGTGAAGGAGAAGGAAGGTGCTTGGGGACAAGTTCTGTTGGACAACGACGGAAGCACTAACCTTTGGTGAGTGACAAGTGAGGTGATGTGGCTGAATGCTAACTAAGGGGCTTGAATTATTCATGCAGAATTCAGTGTGAAGAGGTTTAGCCTAATAACCTTTTGCAGCATCTCCCTGGGCAAGGGATTTCACTCAAAACAAGATCTGAGAGAGACTTAAATAGGAAATGAAAACAAAAGCACTAGGATCTTCCCCACTCTCCCTCCCATCACCGCTGTGTGACTTGATACAGGACATAATTCTCTAGGGCTGAGAGCCTGATACTTTTCTCTAGCAACAAATTCGTAGTGGTAGGTAAAGATTGAAAAAAAAAAAGCAGCCTGACATTAAATTCATGACCGGCTTTCTAGTGTAAATCATACAATATAGTACCGAATGTGCCAGGCGATCAGGTGCTCTGCCCTTACCCTGGCACAAGGGAATGGATTGTGGGCTTGAAGTGGTGATTTCAAGGGCTCCTTGGGTAAAGGTTTCTTGCACAAGCAGGAGATGGACTTCATGGCCCAGGAGGCCCCTTCCAGTCCCATGTTCCTATGAGTCAGCCTTAGTTTTGGCTTTTGAAGGAGATGCCAAAATGCAAAGCCTTGTTATTTCCCATAGATAGTTGGAAAGATCCCCATCATCAGAGCTAGCACTCATTTGTATCAAGCAGCAACAAGAGATAGACAGGGAATTTTGCTGAAGTGTTTATCTGTAACGGGTAAATATATCAAGTGAGCAAACCACCACCTAAATATCAGATGCGGGAAATGCTGTCCTCGGTTGTTTTAGAAAATCCACATGACCACAATATTTATAATAGATTTGCATGGCTGGATGCATTTTAGTGCATCCATACAGAGGGTTCCCCCATCTACAAGCCAGGATGCCTCAAATGCCTATATTCACTGGCACCCAACACTAAAAAGTCTTCAGAGCTACAAATTTTAACTGGCGCGCATGTGCAAAATATGTTCATTCACCATAGCTAATGCCATCTTTAGCCACTGAGAAGTTCTGATGTCAGATCATAATCAATACGACCAGGTTTGCAATACACCCAAGTGCTCTAAAACGCGAAGGCTGGGCAATCCCTCATCTCCCTCAGAAACCAAGCAGGTGCCATCTGCAGTCTGCCGTCGTAAGAAATACATAGAGGTTCTCAGTGCTCAGGGTCCAGCCAAGCCATGGAGGATTGTATTTTTAAGAATGGATAACCTAGGGCCCGATTCTATCCCAGTTATAGCTTCTCAGGCACTGAAGTAGGCGTACATGCCTAAACATGGTTCTCTCCTACCCTGTTCAAGTCCTGAAAAATTCATTAACGCATCTATTTTCATTCTCATCTTGCCCCTATGACCCAATCACAACAAAATGTGCTCATCTCCCTTATACGATGGTTTTGAATGATCTTCCACAACTCGAGTAGAGTGGAATAGAAACACGCTTGGGTGCAAATGTCAACTTCTGTGCTTGAAAGCAGAAAAGCATCTGGCCCTTATTGCTCCTGAAAGGTGTTGTATTGACGGCCCTGGGGACCGAAATGGTGTGTCCACCCGTAGAGCAGGTGCAGTGGCAAGACAAACCCAGGGATGGGAATAGAGTTCAGTTTCCACACTCATTCCCTTCTGTCAGCACCAGTGCAAATCAGTGTCAAAAGCCTCAAAGCTAAGAGCCATCCGGGTCATGTCAGGTCATCCATCCCACTGACTGCCTGGCAGACAGAGCATTTCCAACCGAGGTTGTTTTTTTCCCCGCTAGCAAGCTGGATCGGAACCAGAGATATCAGATCTACATCCTACTGCCCTCCCATTAGCCATCCAGCCCCACACCACTTTCAGGAAGGGTCTCAGGCAGGGGTCATTTTGTCTCAGCATTTCCTACCTTATCAATGAAGTAAAGTGCAACTGCTCGTTGCCGCAGCTTCATTTCCTTGGCTCTCCAGTCCAGGCAGTACGGAGCCCGGATCCTGTCCACACAGGTCTTCAGCTTCCGGGCAACTTCATACTTTTCCCAGTCCTTTTCTCCCTAGAAAGGAAGAGAATGAAATCAAGTTAAAAGGCAGACTACAAGGTACTAAAAAGTGACTTCATCTTCCAAGATCGGACCAAACGAACCACCTGCTCCAAAATATCCCCAAGTCTTTGGGAGGTTTGGAATCCAAATCCAGCACTGGACTTCATAAAGGCTCTTTTCCTCAGTCTGACACACGTAGTAATGTGCCATGCCTGGTGAATCCCTGGACATTTCCAGGTTTTCATGTGCCCATCTCCCCTATATGGTGGTTTTGAATGATCGCCAATGTATTCACACGCACAGACAAAAGCAAGCACAGGGCGGATCTAACAAGCTGCTGCTAAGCACTTGTCAAAGAACAGCAGCATCTGAGCTCCCTTGGAAATATAAGGGGCCCTCCAGTCTCTATTTTCCAAAAGGAGACTTACTTAAAATAATACAATTAAATATTCTGCAGTAACCGCATCAGCTCGCAAGCCCTGGTTTTTGACTTGGGTCTGTTACTGATGAACAGCAGAAATTCAGGGCAAAGCTAAATATTGTCTTGCACCTGCTTGCAGCCGCTAGATGGAGCCACAGTCATTCTTCAGGCTGAAACTTGGGGATGTGGATGAATTGGCTTAAAGAGCAATGGAAAAAAACGGTATCTGGTGTAAATAATGTATTTGCAACACTTGCAGCGCATTTGCACACGGGGAGGTTCTTCAAATAAGCCTGGAATCTCTGCTATAATCAAAGGATATGGAGCAGTACATTATGCAGCTTAAAATAGACCCAGAGATTGGTTGAACCAGTTACTGTAACTGTCTTTCATCTGCAAAAAAACATTTTAGTAAGGGCATAAATAGTAAGCAACTGCCAAGGGTTGATGTGGATCCTGTTTGGTAAATCTTAGCATCTGGCTCTGCTTGGGATGTATGGCTTCATTTACAATGTATAGGGCCCAAAGCAAGCCCTGGTGAGCAATATATTCTGGGCTAAGCTCGAGGAGACCATTATTCCAGAATCATTGCACTGAAATATGGGTTTGTGAAGAGAAACCGTGCAACCGTGCAACCAAGAGCCAGGCACACAGTGCAAGTTCAGATGCTCAGTAGAGGGATTTGCAGTGGGTGGATGGAGGGTTTGTTTCAATCCACTTTTTGAAAATACTCTGGGCAGGACTGATGTGATGGGAGCCCGGCCGGGAATCAGACACCACAGTCCCCAGTGAAGAACAGCTGCGGCCAAACACAGAACTGAAGGGGTCGCAACCTCCAGCTCTTATACAGCACTTTCCATCGGCAGATCCCAACGTGCTTTTCCAGAAGAGGCTCTATTTTTCAGATAGGAACCAGAGGCACAGAAAGATGCACTGATTTGCCCAAGATCATCCAGAGGGCTTGGAAAAATTGGTCCTGTATCTCCTTAGGCTCAGTCAAATGCTCTGTGGTGGATGGTATTAGGCACACAGGGCAAATTAGATCTGCCCCTTTATAGACTAACTAAATCAGAGATGTATAGCCCAAGCTCACTTCCTCATTCACGAGGTACACAGGCCAAGAGGTCAACATACAAGACTTGACCACATGACAGGTCTATCACCAGTGGCATCTAATAATTGAATGTGATGGTGCCCAAAGCCACTGAACAGTGTTAATGCCGTATTATGCCAGGTACTGTAGAAAAATCTAGGAAGACCTGAACTTTTCCTTATATTGACAATGGAGTTTGGAACTGGCACCACGAGACTCCTACCAACCCACAGCCTTCTGCGTGCCCGGACAGAGAACAAGACGGCATAAGGGAGCCTGGCAACCTTTTCCTACAAGTGGCAACGCTATCTCTGGCAAGGACAGAATAGGAGAATCAAGATATGAGATTACCACCATCAGAGACTGAAGAGCATCTCTCTTTTCTACCCAGAGGCAAATACCCCTCTGCTGTGACCCGGAGAGCATTTAACGCAGGACAGCAGCCGTCTTGCCTATTTACTCTCTTCAGGCCTCTTCGCAGAAACAGCTAATTCAGCTACAACTTTTGATTTTTTTGTACGTTAACTATTGAAGCAAAACAACTGGCAGCGAAGCTCAGCTTCAACATTTGCTGTGCTCAAATGCTTGTCTCTTGGCTGCGATCAAGTCCAATACATACTTCTCCCTCTCACAACAAAAGCATGTTCTGCAATGGAAAACAGTGGCATAGGCATTTTAAAGGACTCTTTCCCATCTGTATGGCCTCTGACACCCTAGCTTCTGATGATTATTTTTGAAACCACAGAGTAAGACCAACCTTCAGCTTAGAGTTGGCATTCAGCATGGCATATTTGACTGATCCCTGCACGTTTTCTGTCCAAGATGCCAACCAAGTGACTGTATTGTCATGACGAACTTCTTTCCATGTGTGTCTTGGTGGGGGCACTGGGATGTTGGAATCCCTATACGGGGAAAAAATACATACCCACGTAAGCCTTCGTGAAGTAGCACTTATCAACTATATTGCTAATCTACTCTATATTTAAATAACTAGTTTAACTCCCATTGAATAGCAAGCGGGCTTTGCGGGTGAAGAGAAGATCAGAACAAAAAATTCAGCTTGTTACAGAAATGTGGACCCAGAAGAAATACATATAGAGAAAAGGAATAAAGAACAGCGGACATCTGTCACAGTACGGGATGCACTTTTGCTCAGAACATCTTTGGGCAGAAGAAATTTGGGGGAAAAACAATGTCATTTTTCAGACTAAGTGCAGCAGATAATAGAAGAGAAGTTTGAAGTAATAAGTTTAAAAAGCTAGTCTACGCACAGAAACTAGTTGTGTCATTTATTAATGACTAGACTTTGCTTGGATACGTAGAAAAATATATATTGTGGGTCCCCAATCAGCTAACTTTCCATTTATCTATGCTTACACTGGGAATTTATTCTCTTAATGCACTTGCTAATGGGACAGTTATTTACTTTTAAAGGCTTTACTGTGTTCCTGTATTTTGGTGCGGGCAAACTACTGATTTCAGAGGTGCTTTGGCAAGAGGCTCATGAGTTTGAACTGACCTAATGTTGCTCCTCCATCCCCAAAGCCTCCCCACTCCCTCCCTGCAACCCAAGACCTCAGCACATTCATATAATCTCCTATTGGACTATAAAGGCCAAGAGACCTCCTCTTCTTCCCAATGTTGTGACCTACAGCCTTGTTGCTGGTTCCCAGGTGCGGTTCTCAGAGAGACTCGCTGTCAGGTCAAGGTGCAGAGATAACGGCAGAGATGCAAAATGGAAGTGGAGTGCAAACGACATCAGAACTGGGTTTTTGGTTGTAGCCATGTTGGTCTAAGGACAAAGGCCGGCAAGGTTTTTTTGGGTAGATGTGATATCTTTTATTAGACCAACTGAGTAGTTGGGGAAAAACGTTCTTTGCAAGCTTTCGGGCGCAATCGCCCTTCTTCTGGCATTGGAAGAGAGTTATCCAGGAAAAACCAAGTGGTGGGGGCAGCATGGCCTGGGAGAACATGCAGAAAGGCACTGAAAAGCATACAAGCATCAAAGAGCTCTGAAGCTGGCTCCCCAGCGCTGTTGCAAGGACACCAGCCGCGTGCAAACAGACCAAGAGGACTTGACGCTTGCATGAGCTAATGAGCACCAAGCCGGTAGAGGGCTCTTGCATTTTCTAACTGAAGAGACAGCTTGCCGGTGAGGCAGAAATTTGCAAGCCATCACTTCTTTATAGCTCCGATTTCCCTGGAGCAGGGTTTGGCTCCGCAGAGCCATGCCAGGCAGGGGCGACGTGACTTCCAGCAGATGGCAAGCTTGGGTAAAGCACGTTGCTGAGACAAAAAGTAAGGGGAAAAAAATCTCCAGCTTTCTCAGCAGGGCAGGAAGCCTGCATATTTTACTCCTAATTCACAAAGGAAACAGGGAAACAAGTGCAGTCGCCACCAAGCAGCACAGAGGAGGGCGTAAGGAAAACAAACAGATTAATGAAAATAGCTTTGTGCCATACAGAAACTAGCAACTCCCCCCTTCTCTAAAATCAGAAAAAGACCATAAAAATAAATACTTGTGCCAGCAATTTGATGAGGACCTGCTCAGAAATGAAGGGCTCCCTTACTCCTCCTCCCCCTACAAGGGCTTCAAGGCAGCAGAAACTGGGGAAAAAGCAGTAAATAAGTTATGAAAAACACACTGAATTATTCACTCCTACCACCAAATATTGTTGATACACAAAAAGACCTTTAGCTTTCATGGGTGGCAATCCACTCCCTCCTACATACTACAGGGAAAAGTTGTTCCTAGTGAAAGAACCGGAGTAGGGAGTTGTTGTATTGAAAAGCTTAATTAAGTAGTGGCTTTGTTTCTCCAGCTCAGCCAGGTGTCTCAGCAATAAAGATAGTTATTTTTAAAACCATCTGCTGCTTACATAAACTTTTCCTTCAACGATCTCAAAGCATTTTACATCCAAAATTCATACTGTTATTCGCCATGGCAGAGCAAGGGACACCACGAATCTATCTTCACCGCCAAAAAGCTGTTTTCCTTTGAAGATAGTAAGACAATTGCCGTGCCATACTATCCTAGTGAAGACAAAGGTGCTTTGCACTTCTTGCCACAAGAGAGTTAGCACTAACCCTCCTGACCCCATCCGACTTTGCATGATGGGCCTCATAGTAACCCTACCATGCCCTGTCTCTGCCAGGATTTTAGAACAGGACAGCTAACACGTGTGAAGAAATCCCCCTCTCTGCCCTGCCTTGGGTCATTGCACACGGCCCTTCCTCTTTCACCTGTGTGCTATTTGGTTTAACCTGGTCATCTAGGTGACCGGACTGTAAAATTTCCTGAGGGGAGAGGGAGCTCGCTCTCTTCCTCTGGCAGGCATTTTGAAAGCAGCAAGCAGAGTACCTAGGCTCTGGCTGAATGAAACTTTGTAAGTAGAAACCTGGAATCTAGCTAGTAGATTAGTACTAAATAATTCAGACACGTATTAAAAGGGTCCCCAAACCCATTCTCTGAAAAGGTTCAACTTATTTTGGTTTGCTCAAAGTGGTTTTTTTTCTATTCCTTTGTTCTACCCCTCCCCCAGTCCCTTGCCCTGATCAATAAAGGCATTGGGTTGCAGCATGACTGGCTGTTTCTTTGTGAAAGGGGCTGAGAGACAGACCTTCATTGCTCCCTTACCTGGGCCAGCTACACTGGGCTTGGCTTTCTATTTTCCTCTAGTGCTGGAGGCTATCTTTAGATGCTTCAGGCCAAAAGAAGCACCCTGAAATATTACCAGTGGGCAAAAGCACCCCCAAGGCTTACACGGTCCGTGTACCCTGGGCTGCACAGAGTCCTAACAGAGACCGGGGCCCAGGTGGTGGCAGCGTTACCCCAGGCTTGCAGGTGTTCTCCAGGAAGAGGAATAGCTCCATGGGGAGACTCCTGAAGTGTGGTTTTGGGTCTGGCACAGTGAGGTGGGTGGCTCTGCATAGTAGCGCCCACTACTGGGCAGCCACAACATGCATTAAGTGCACGTGCTTTCTTAAGGGTGTGTCTATACACATCAATGCAATCCTGTGCAGATACTTAAGCTAGCTCTGGTAGATGGAGCGGCATGCCTATCCTAGCGTAGTCCAACCCAGACTAGTATATCTCAGCTAGCTCTGAAACTAGATGTTTACTAGAAGCAAAACCACCTATGTTCACATAGTGCTCCATTTCAGCTCATGTATCCTGCTTCTCTAAATGCACGCTTGCTCTTCTAGTGCCCAGCCTGGCTTCCTCCGAGCTGACCCAGATATCTGTGCACAACTGCGCACAGTGCAGTACAGATGCACCCTCCATGACTTGCCAGAGGTCACAGAGTATGTCTACACTACAGACTGTAGTACAGTGAGGAGACACCAGAGCTAGTACATGCACCAGAAGCAGCATAGCTGCCACAGCATTACTGGA